TGCACCCTCAGCAAGTTTGCCAACAACACCAAGCTGTGTGGTGTGGTCGACTCGCTGGAGGGAAGGGATGTCATCCAGAAGGACCTTGACAGGCCTTAGAGGTGGGCCCGTGTGAACTGCATGAAGTTCAATAAGGCCAAGTGCAAGGTCCTGCACATGGGTTGGCACAATCCCAAGCAACTAGAGCCTGGGAGGAGAATGGATTGAGAGCAGCCCTGAGGTGAGGGACTTGGGGGTGTTGGTGGACAAGAAGCTCAACATGACCTGGCAATGTGCACTTGCAGCCCAGAAAGCCAACCATATCCTGGGTTGCATCAAAAGAAGCGTGACCAGCAGGTCAAGGGAGGTGATTCTGCCTGTCTACTCAGCTCTCACAAGACCCCACCTGGAGTACTGTGTCCAGCTCTGGGGTCCCCAGGACAAGAAAGACATTGAGCTGTTGCAGCGAGTTCAGAGGAGGGTCACAAAGGTGATCAGAGGGCTGGAGCACCTCTCCTACGAAGACAGGCTGAGAGAGTTGTGCTTGTTCAACCTGGAGAAGAGAAGGCTCTGGGGAGACCTTAGAGCAGCCTTCCAGTACCTGAAGGGGCCTACAGGAAAGCTGGAGAGGGACTGGTTACAAGGGCGTGGAGTGACAGGATGAGAGGTAATGGTTTTAAACTGAAAGAGGGGAGATTTAGATTAGATATTAGGAAGAAATTCTCTGCTGTGAGGGTGGTGAGACACTGGAACAGGTTGCCCAGAAAAGTTGTGGATGCCCCATCCCTGGAAGTGTTCAAGGCAAGGGTGGATGGGGCTTTGGGCATAGTGGAGGGTGTCCCTGCCCGGGGGGGAGGCAGTGGTTGGAACTAGATGATCTTGAAGGTCCCTTCCAATCCAAACCATTCTGTGATTCTGTGATTCTATTGAACTCATATCCAAGAGCTAACATGAAACTTAGGTACAAGCTACACCACTGCTTGGCTATAGTATATCTGGAAGCGTCTACATTTTACAGAAATGTCCACTTCATATTTACTAGTATTAACTATAGAAAACTTTCGTACAGCAAGACTACATATCACTCAGTGTATACCTTCATATAACCAATTATTACAAATGAATGCTATAAGGCAAGAACTGCCTGTGATCTATTAATTATGCAAGACTTCTCATATGTTCACTTTAATTGAGAAAGAATGCATGCTAATATTTCCAGAAATAACTGCTTTTTTAAAACATTAATTTATGAGTAGGACTATCAACATAATATGAGCATAAGCACAAAAAAGTGCATGTCCATTAATTGTTAAGCCAGTATTTCTAATGGTAGGATGCAGGATCAAGAGCTTAGCAGTTCAGGACTAGGACCATTAGCCTAGGATTTTTTTATTAAGGAATCCAAAGTTGTATTAAAAAGTAATAAAGTAAAAGAAAGCCTCAAAACCAAATGATCTTCCACGTGTCAAGTACAACTTTGAAAAGGTAAAAAACCCAACAAGAAACCCCTCAGTAATTCATAAGAATGCCTTAAAAAAAAAAATCTATTTACTCATATATTTAACAGAAACAATCAATATTTGAGCGTTAATTTTTTAACATACTCAAATGTTTAAAAAAATCTTTTTATTACATCTACATGAAAAAAAAAATAATCCTGGCTGAACAATGTTTAGTCACATAGACTATGAATTTTTATTCCAGACATCTTTACTTCAAATTAATTCATCATACAATTTAGTTTGTAAATTATGAGAAACACTATGCAGAAATCAGTGGCACACATCCCACAAGAATAGAATTCTATTTATTAGGCATCTCTCCAGACCATGCTACACAAATATTGGGCTGCAGTTCTGCTCCAATGATTCTATAATCAAAATTTCAGAGGCAGCACAGAGAGTGGGAATAACAAATCAGTAGGGGAAAATAGGGCAAGATACAATAGAAGCTATGGTATTATATACTGATACATCAAAAAAAATTTCACAATAAATTTCAGTTGTAGTTTTAAAAAGTAAAGAATAATGTATTTGATTGTATTTTATTTAACAAAGGCAAAATTAACAGCAATTGGAATCTAAAATACAACTCTGCACAAAATATGTCATATCTTTTCAGGAATTTACTGTTCATTACAATCTAAGGTAGCTGAATGTGGGGCTCAAGACTACACAGGTGACTCAATTTTCCTCCTTACTCCTTTAGAAACAAGCTAGTCAAAGAGCTTCCTGATCAGCCTGTTAGATATATACTGCAATGACTATGTAAAACGCTACTGAGATTGAGTAACCAGGGCGGGGGGAGTTAGTTTGGAAGACTATCCAGTAAGCAACGTTACTATTCTCTCTGGTATGAACAGGCACAAAAACAACCAAAGAAAAACCAGCTAACCAGAATACTGACTCACTGAGGGAGTGACTTAATCCATGAGGAATCAGGACAAAGTTAGGCAAGCAGCAGTATAGACAAACCATTTCTCAATGACAATTTTTCAATACCCACCCCCACCCCCACTGGAGAATGCTGCAACGAACGTTTCTGTTTTCTCAACCGTTGGTGTCTTCTCACAGTTGCTGACTTCATTATTTTTTTTTCAGCCATCACTTTTATTAAGTAACTTTTCTGGAGAAAAACTAAAATTGTGATAGTTGCAGACATAAAGACTGATATGTCTCATTAAGTTAACAGAAAAGGTACAAGAATCTCAAAGCCAAATGCAAACAGAAATAGACAAATGAACCAGCTAGCAATAAACTGACTGAGAAGGGGGTGGTGCTTCATGCTAAAATACACCATATGCGGCCTTTAATTTTCCCTTTTATTCTGCTTAATAAATCATTCAAATTTTATAACCTTATTTTACTCAAAGCTGAAAAACTAATGATTCAGTTGTGTAAGCATTTGCATTACAGAAAACCAACAGTATCAAAAATCTATACCTTTCCTGTAGTCAGATGATTTAAAATGCCAGTCAAATGCAACAAAAGTTTTTACAATAAACAAGTTTTCAATAATGCTGTAGAAAACCAGAAAAAAAGATTGCCTCTAATTATTAAACCTTTGGTTTAATCATGTTTCCATGTTGGAAAGGCAACTTGCTCACTGAACTACCAATATTGCCAAAAAATGGGATGCAAACAACGTAATATGCAACTGTTGAGCTGTATGATTTCGTAAAATAAATTTAGAGATTAAAGAAACATGATTGTCTCATAGTTAGACAAATTTTACATCACCTTAAGAACCTGATACACAAAACGTGTAGAAAGTATCATTAATTCCACACTACAGATGGCAATACTTTATTTACGCTATTGTAAAAAACTACATATTATTAAAAATATTACTGAATTTACTGTCCTTTCAGCATTTTCAATGAAAATTCTGGCATCAACTCTAATCAATTAGAATTTTAAATTCACAAAAAACTAAAGAAAATAGAGAGATTCAGCAGAATTCTAGCTTGTTAAAACCTGTTTTAGTTGGTTGGATTAAGGGAAGAAAGAAAATTTTTAGCTATTGGTGATTCTCTGTAACCAAGGTATTACAATATAAAATTAACAGTAGCAATTCTGTTACTGAACTGTAACTAATTTATCGTAAGAGAAAATGTAGCACCTTTGTAGCACATCAGGTTTCCAACATTACTCTGGATGCAAACAAGTCGTTGGCAAACCTAAATGAGACAATGTGTCATGTAACACTATGGGACAAAAAGTGCCACTTAATGAGGAATAGTCTACCATGGCTTCACAGGTGTAAGACAATCTACATCTAAAATGCTGCAGGCATGCAATGGAGATTACAGACTGGTACAAAGATGGCTCATAGAGCAGAGATTTTATAATCTAAACTTCTGCAAAAAAACAGTAAGAGCTTGTATTGGACCAGAATTGCTTCAAAGATTAAAGCAGATCCCAGTTAAGACTAGCATCCTTGCCACAAGAACTTAAACTGTAGGAGAATTTCAAATACAAACACTGTAGCATATCTGATTTAAACTTAATAGGGAACTTTGTCTTGCTGTACTTTGCTATGGCATGACATAATCCATTAAAACAAAGAAAACCCACTATCAGCAAGTTTTAACAGAATCTGAATTTAAGCAATGAGTCAGCTGGCAGCATATTACAAGCAGGGTAAGTATTACAAAGGTTAAAGTCACAGCCAGGATAAAACCACTGTTTTATTTAAAACAAAAACAAACAACCAAACACAAACACAAAAACCCAAAAACAAACAAACAAACCCCACAAATCATAACAGAAATTCCAGCTGTCCCAGAGAAATTTAGCTGCACATTACCAGAAGATCTCTAGCTTTGTCTGTACTTCCAAGCAGCTGTCTCTTACAGTTACACACATTTGAGCACTGTTCAGGCTAAGTTGTGAGACTAAATCTTGCCAATGGAAATGCTTTCAGTGATTACATAGAATCCTGAAGCCTTCAATAGTATAGTTATTGTTACAGGCTCAGCATCAACATGCACAAAGAGCAGAAATGCAGTTTTACATATACAGACTAATACGAAATATTAACAACTTGCCAGCTGTTATCTTAACTACAGTTCTTAACTACAGTTATACACAACAGCACAGAAGTCTTGGTATGCCATGCTGTTTACAAGTACCCCTCTAGAGACCATCTCTAATCCCAAGGAACAAGCTTAATTGCAAACCAGCCTTTCGGAACAAAGGTCCCAGGTGGGAATTTGCTGTCTGGCTTCTCATAGCGTTTCCCACAGCCTTACAAGGCAATCCAAGTCATTCTCAGAAAAGCCTTTCACTAAACAGCAGCAATGGCACAACTCTTTTTTTGAGGCTATTCCTTACCTGAATTGTTACAGGGAATTATTTGGAGAACATGCATTTAAAACATTTCCAAAGCCTAACACTACACTGAAATAATGTCTTTAAACTGTATTTTTTCTTTGCTAACTCAAATTATACTTTAACTTTTCATGTCAAAAAAACAAGTGCATGCATAAAGCCTATGGGAGCACTCAGTAAAGAATCAATAATGGAAGCATTAGCAGCCCATATTAAGATGTGCTTAATTTAATATCACATGTTCAAAATGTACATTTATCAAAGTTCTGACGTCAGAGAATAGCTCCTCAAAACAAGGGCAAGAAACACAGAACCTCATTGCTTTCTGTGACAAAGACACTGGTGGTCTGGTGGTGAGGACAAGGGAAGGGCAGCAGATGCTTTATACTTTGATTTCAGAAAAGTTTCAATGAACAGTTGAACCTCATATAGTCCCCTTATCACCCAACCGGTGAAATAAGGGCTGGATAAAAGGATGATAAGGTGGGTGGAAAACTGGCTGGCCAAAGCTCAAAGAATTGTCACCAGCGGTGCAAATTCCAGCTAGTGGGCAGTAACGAGTGGGGTCCCTCAGGGATCTCTGCTGGAACCAACACTGCTAAATGTCTTCACTAATAACCTGAATGACGGGAGGCAGTGCGCTCTCAGCAACTTTGCTGACAACAGCAAATTGGGGGGAGCAATCAATATACCAGAGGGCAGGGCGGAACCTGGACAGGCTGGAGAAATGGGCAGACCAGAACTTCATCAAGTTCAACCAGAGCAAGAGCAAGGTGTTGCATTTCGGATGGTCTGCACCAGCAAAGACCAGGAGCTGACGACCTAAACAGCAGCTCTGCAGGAAAGGATCTGCAGGTCCTATTGGGTGACAGGTGTCAGCAGTGCAGCCTGGCAGCAAAGACAACCAACTGCATCCTGGGTCAAACAAGTGGTAAGCGCAGCCAACAGGGCCAGAGAAGCGATCCTTCCCCTCCGTTCTGCACTTGTAAGATTGCATCTGGGGTGCTTTATCCAGTTTGGGGCTCCCCAGTGCAAGAAGGATATCAATGCACAGCAGTAAGTCCAATGGAGGACTGCCAGGATGGTCAGAGGAGAGTTGCATGCAAGGAAAGATGGACAACTGCTTTCAGTTTTGAGAAGAGTGGACGAAAAGGGAATCTTACTGCTTTCTACAACTAACTAATCAGAGAATACACAGAAGACGCAGCTAGACTCTTCCTCAGAGCTGCACAGTCATGGGACAAGATGCAACAGGCAAGTTGGAACAGGGGAAATTGTAATCAGATTGAAGGATTATTTATTTACTTACTTACTTACTGTAGGGTAGTTAAATACTGAAATACAGAAACATGTTGCCCATGGAGGCTGTGGAAACTCTGACCTTGGAGGCATTCAAGATTCGACACGGTCCTGAGCAACCTGATCCAATTAGACCTGTTTTGAACTGGGGGGTTGGACTAGATGACCTCTGGAGGTCATTTCCAACCTAGATTATGATTCTGTAAGAAAAATCCCTCATGAAGTCTCCTGGGTTTACAGTGACACTGCTAAAACATATCAGTTTGTTTATTCTGTGACATTAGGACTTGCTGTACAGCAGCTTTTCACCAATTTTAACAGATCAGCTAGTATCTCCAAAGGAAGAATTGTGAAATATTTGAGCAGAAAATCCATGCATTTTCCTTTTCCTTGTAATAAATTTAAGTTAAATTGAGTTGTTGCAGAAGTCTATACAAGATAACAAAAATTTCATTCCTCTCATCTGACTATGAGACTGAAATAACAAAATTTAAAAAGTTTGGGGAAGGAATTTCTAAAGTCACTTACCCTGTGCGTGACTGCCCAACTTTATCACAGATGTCTAAGATGAGGCCCCAGTCCTCTGCAGTGTTCATCTCACTGGTTGCTTTCTCTGATGAATAAAGAATAAGTAAATCAAAATAAAATTTAAAAAAATATAAAAGAATTTAACAAAATTGTCAACAAAGATGTTGTAGTATTACCTCTTTGTATATTGCTAAATGGATGACAAATGCCTATATTTAATAAATTCATATATTAAAACTATTATTCCTTATTCTTTTTAATTTTTGAAAGTTCATTTGTGGTCATGAATTTAAACTCATAAGCAAATATGTATTTTGGGTTTTTTTCCCCACGTAATAAAGACATACCCAGAATATGACAAAAGTAGTATAGCCACAAACAGATTTATTTTTTTTGTTCCATTTGGAACTATAAAGTTTAATAGGATATGAATACCCAAAGCATTAGTTCACTGTTTGCAGAGTCACATACAACTACATTTACCACTTCCTCAGACACTAAACTGCTGTGTCTTGCATTTCCTTTTATGTATTACAACTCAACAAGGAGGATTCAACAATTCATTAATAATCATTAAACTTTTATCTCCCCATTCTCATATCTGCTTTGAATGATACATTTCACTGTCTCTTTTCAGCTACTGAAACTGCTAAACCAAAGCTAATCTCATAGAAGCCACTGGAACTTTTTCTTCCAAATCTTTCGAATAGGACAAGAACAGTCCCTGCTGAAGAGTGAAGAAATAGAGAGGGTAAGTGGAGAAGAAATAGATTCCACTAAAGAAAAAAAAAAAAAAAAAAAAAAAGACCCCCTATTTCTCCCTCAGAAAAGCTTAGGTACACAGAGGGTAACAATAAACAAAAAGTGTTAAAAGAAACAGCCTTACACTGCAGCTGAATGGAAGATTATCTAAACACTGATAGATCAGGGCTGGAGAGCACAAGGGAATGCACAAGCAGTTTCCATTATTCACCAAACAGAAAGAGAATGGGTGCAGAATATGACACAAATTTTGCTTCCTATCTCTGCTTCATCTAATATTCACCTCTTAAGCCACAAAACACGCCTCAGCAACGAGTACCATCCTTCAGGGAATGTCTCAGACTACTTAGTTTTATGAAAGGAAACAAAGATTTCCTATAAAACTTATCTGCCAGGGAAGATTCATTATCCGCATTAGCACTTGCAAGACTGCAGAGAAGAGAAAGACAAAGCAAAACATCTAATCTCCAAAAGTTACTAGGAATTATTCATCCCAAAGTTGATGGCTTGTCTTTTTGAATCAGTTCCTCTGTCCTACAAATTGAAGTCAGGTTACAGTTAATTAGCTTCTTAATTCAGAACAAAAATGCAGAAAAGCAAAGCTCTATGGTTATGTGATCTCTATGTATTTCTGAGGAAAAATTAAACACTCTCACACACAGCTGGAATGATAACACATCAGTTGTACTGCCTGGTGCAAGGAAAGTAGCAAAGCAGTATAGGGAAATCCTAAATGGAAGCTAGTTACAATTCTGTATGTTCTCTCAGATAAAGTAAAAGAGCACTGCCTTGTCTCTCTAAACTGAATCAGAAAACTTATTTGATTAAAAAGCCTGATCATAATCAACAAAAATATGAAAAAATCTGGGTAGACACCATGCTAACATCTAGCACTAAGATACATCAGCTGATCAACCAACCACTTTCTTTTTTTTTCAGTCTACTATTGTTCCAAATCATGCTTAGGACCAGTATAGCTAACAATCAGAGAAATTCTTGATTTTTAACTCTTGTCCATAAAGGAAACGTGTCAACTGTGAAGCAAAAATTGAGAGGAACACGATAATGGCAGAATCCACTCAGCATGCCAAACAAAAATGCCAAAACATGAGAACAGAGCAATGAGACTGGACTCTGCTTCTATCAATTAACATTGTTTCATAACTCCAGAATTTCAGTTCTTTAGTTCAGGATACCTTATAAATACAAGTAAATGGGGGGGGAAGGTGTTGAAGTGTGTCTGCATGGTGCTCTCCAGAGTCATAAATTCCCACCAAGCTCAGAGCCCACATGCACCCCTCACTCACAACTAATGCCATACTTCAGTCAGCACATCCTTCAGCAGTCAGAGCTGAGAAATCCAATGGAAACTTTGACCTTTTCCATTATTCTACTTAACAGATGGTTGTCTGTACTTTTGGGAACAATTGATCCTTCTTTCCTCAGAATGTCATCAGAGAGAAATGGCATGACAATTGGTTATGTCTTTTACAAACCAAAAAGTAGAAAAATGCAGTTTGAAAAAATTTCAGTTCAAAACCCAGTTTCATTACATACTTTCTGTATTCTCTAGTAACAAGCATCCATTAATTCCCCTGGATAATAAAATTAATTGTAGATGTGAGAAAAAAAGTTTGCCTCTAGAGTTTCACATAAATTGTCTCTCAAACAAGGGCAGTTAAAAGTTAACAACATACTGTGAATGTTAGCAGTATACTATCTGGCATTGACTGTCCACAAAATAGGCGACTCGCTGTCAGAGCATTAGCGAGTGACTATCACCTTTCACCACTCTAGGAAGAGGAGCAACAAAGAACCTTTGACAAAATTCCTATGTTGCATCAGTGTTTTGTAGACAAAATTATGACTTAAGGCTACTTAAGTTAAACTTCTTACGTTATTATCACTTAAAACCCATGAATGCTCTCTCTTCTAACTTGAGGCACACATTCACAGTCAAAAAAACCAACTTTATGTGCATTCAGTATTTACTTACCCTGACTAACAGCTGGCACCCTACTAGCCTTCAGGTACTGCTGACATGTCACTGTCAGACTCTGGCAGGGAGGCGAAAAGAGACATTTGCATTTAAAGTCTTCAAAGTCTTAGGATAGGTTAGCACAGGAGATTCTCATCTTCTATCTCTGATCAAAAATAATTCTGCCATTGCAATAGTGTTTACTTCAAACCTTATTCCTCTACCTCATCATTGCTACAAAATCTTATTCAACTTAGTGAATGCCAAGCCAGGATCAGATAACAGTTCGGACTTCACTAAAACAACTTTTAAAGACAATGCTGGATCCTTCATGAAATCAATGTTCTTTGAAACTTACTAATGCTATGTTAAACACAAAGGAAAACAGGACTAACATGACACAGAGGTAGACATGATGGAGCTTTGTCTCTAGTTTTCCAAAGCACCTCTCTCCCATAAAGCTGTACCACTCAAATTGAAGGCATTGTCTTCCTAGCACAAGCAAGACCTACTTGTAGTAACTGCAGTAGTGTAGTAACTTTAACCAGTGCAAGACTATAGATTGTAATTAGTAGTTTTGAAATTTTGTGACTGCTTTTATTCCTTTTTTTTTTTTCCATTACAGATCTTCAACTTTCACCTTTATTTTCCTAGGAGTTATTTAAAATTATTTCCTTACAATTAATTCCACACAGACAGACAAAGTGATAAGCACCATCATTTCAGAGGAAAAGAATACTTAGAACTATGGCTTCTTTGGACAACAACAATAACAATGATTCTGCACAATATAAGAACACCTTTCTAAATAACTTCAACAATTTATTTAATTCCTAAAACAAAAACAAAACACACAAAACCAATATGTAACATTTTTCAATCAGGCCTCTCCCTTTATACTTCTTCTGTACTCAGAATACTAATCATACCAAGACAGACCAACTTCATCTTGCCCAACATTCAGTCTCTAATATTTATTATACCTAAAGACAGACATGCCTAGGAAAACATAAAAAAGAATAAGGTACGCATGAGTTGTACTTCCCTACAACACACCTTTCATCAACCAACAATTTGCAGCTTCGTAACTCCTGAGTCAGAAATGGTGCTTCAAATGCATAAACATAATCATAAATCACGTATAAAACAAATAATTAAGAGTGTGCTGAAGGAAAATGCATCTCCTCTGATAGAAATCCCAGCTGTGTCTATCTTCAAAATTTCTCAATACATTCTGGAACACAATGTCCTTCAAATAAAATATCTAGATGCTGAAATCATACTTCCAAACATATTTTCTATCTTCTTTTTTAATTTTCAACTAAATCTCTGAATAAAATTTATACAAACCTGAACATCATCATCTGCCTTCTAAAGAAAACACCATTCCTCAGTATAAATGCTGTCTAGTCACTCTGAAATACTATACCAAAAAAACCAGGAGACAGTGTTACACCTATTGATCAGAAGCCAGGCCAGAAAGATCTAAATATAGGAGTTAGATCAGTTATGCTTTGGTTGCGGTCAAAGTACATGGGCACTTGCATGGGCTTTTTTTGGATACCTAAATAAACCAGCCTCTCCTTGTGTTGTAAAGTTCATTAATTTAGTTGAGGCTCCATTTCCCTCCAATTTACACAAACCTGAAGGCTTGGAACATTGATAAAATTCTGTTAAAACTACCTAGAATTTCAAGAAATAACAAAAACAGACCAAAACCAGAGAAGTTATGGATGTCCTCTCCCTGGCAGTGTTCAAGGCCAGGTTGGATGGGGCTTTGGGCAACCTGGTCTAGTGGAGGGTGTCCCTGCCCAGGGCCGGGGGGGGGTTGGAACTAGATGATCTCTGAGGTCCCTTCCAACTCAAACCATTCTATGATTCTATGAAACACCTCCAAGCCCAACACTTATAATGTACATTATTTGAAGCAGTTAAAATAAATACGAGTAAAAACTGTCAGAATATTCTACTAAACTAAGGTTTCATGGACATAATTTCATTTCCCCAGTTGCATATCTAAAATGAAAAACTGAAGTTCTCAGTAATTGAAGTTACAAAGAAAAGAATAGGTAGAGAAAGTCTTCAAAAGAACGGCTAAAGAAAGTCTTCACTCACAGACTAAAATTACGACCAGTTTCTAGCATAATAAAGAATCCTCGAAAATCCATTATATCTATGTAAACACCACAGAATTAACAAAGAATCCAATACTCCCCTCAGTCTTCTTTCCCCACCAACCACTGAAAGTCTTGTTTTCTTCCAAAGGCTAAATAAATAACTTTTGCTCTCTATATAAAAATGCAAATACTAACATTCCAAAGCATTGTAAAAACATAAATG